GGAGAGGAGAGGAGAGGAGAGGAGAGGAGAGGAGAGGAGAGGAGAGACAAGAGAAGGAGGACGAAGAGGCAGTCACGGCGGTGGCAGCTGGAGGAAGACATCTGTATGTAATCTCAGCAGTGCTTAGGAGGCTGAATGAGGCTGGAAAATTGCTGTAAATTCAAAGCCACCCTGGATTACATACTAACTTCAAGGTTAGCTTGAAGTACATGGAGGAACACTGTCTCAATAAATGCAAACAGGGTCAGGGGCTCAGTCAATAACTTGACTGCCAGGCAAGCATGAAGACTTGAGTCCGACTCAGAGAATGTAAAAAGCTGTGCACAGAAGGTGGGGGTTGAGGGGTTGGGGATTTAGCTCAGTGGTAGAGCGCTTGCCTAGCAAGCACAAGGCCCAGGGTTCGGTCCTTAGCTCCGGAAAATAAAAAATAAAAAAAAAATAAATTTAAAAAAAAAAGAAGGTGGGGGTGGAGACAGGCAGAACCCTGGAGCTTACAGCAGCAAGTCTAGCCAAATCAATGAGCTACAGGTTCTGTGAGACCCTGTCTCAAACAACAAGACAGTGAGCAACTGAGGAAGATAACCAATGTTGACCCCTGGCTTCCACGGGTATTGGAATACATATGCACACATGTGTATGCACATGTCTACACACATACACCACAGAAGCACACAAAGAATAAGTCAAATTGAAAAGACAGACCAGGCATGGAGGCTATCACTTTTAATCTCAGTGCTCAGGATAGAAGCTGAGGAGGCAGGTGGATCTCTGTAAGTTCAAGGTCAATATACCAGTTCCAGGCCAGCCAAGGATAAATAGCATGCTCCTGTCTGGGGGGAAAAAAAGGAAAGAAAAGTCTGTACTTAAACCAAACCTTATGGGAATGTCTTAGAGGATTTTGTCCTTTGCATTTTGTGTTGCTGGGGACAGAATCCATGGTCTCACATATGTTAAAAAAAAGTGCTCTACTGCTGAGCTATATGCCCCCGCCCCCTTCTGTTTTTATTTTTTGTTTGTTAGAGTGTTGTTTTGTTTTGAGACAGGGTTTCTTTGTGTAGCCCTAGATGTCCTCGAACTCGCTCTGTAGATCAAGCTGGCCTCGAACTCACAGAGAACCACCTGCCTCTGCCCGCTGAGTACTCCTGAGCACTGGGATTAAAGGCCTGCACCACCACCACCACCACCACCACCACCACCACCACCACCACCCAGCTTGTTAATGTGTTGGGGGGGGGGGTGAGTTTTGTGACAGGGTCTGACTCCGTCGCTAAGACTGGATTGGGGCTCCACATGTAACCCAGGCTAGCTTCAAACTCCTTCCCCAGTCTCGGGAGCACAGCTTGCTCTTGTGCTTTTCAATAGGGATCCTATAGTTGTCAATGGAACATGAGGAAAGGTGACTAAGACTTTAAATCTTATCCGTTGCTGCCCTCATGTGGTCTAATGTGGCACTGCAGCCTCCCAACCCATTTGGAGGTTCCCTTTACTCTCTCCTATTATCAGTGTGTTCAGAACCCTTGAGATAGTCCTTTCTTACTCTAAGTTTGCATTTATTAAACTTAAAACTCCAATAGGTAATCCATAAGCTTTAAATAACCTGCATTATAATTTATTGTTATAATTGTTCTATTTTGTTATTCTCAATCCTGTACTATATCCAACTTACAACTTCAACTATTACACAGTCAGAAGTGGTGGCATACTACCATAATTCTAGCACTTGGGAAGCTGAGGCACAAGGACTGCTGGGAGTTATAGGCCAGCGTGGGCTACATAATGAATCCCAGGCTAGCCTGGACTACAGAGTGAAACCTTGTCTCAAAAACATCAAACGCAAACAAAAAACTTGATCGTAAGCACAAATGTTTAAGGTACTATACATGGTTTTGGACACACACACACAAAAAAAAGAAGTGAAAAGTTAACTGCAAGGGAGGACTCCATGACCAGCTTCCGTGAGGTCATCTCCCATGACTAGGTGGGAAGCTTTTGATGTCATCCAGCCTTCTTTAAGTAATTCCTCACCTGGGCTTTGTGTTGTTCTTGGTTTTTAGACAGAGTCTTATCATATAGCCCTGGGTGGCCTGGAACTCTCTACCAAAGACCACGATGGCCTCAAACTCACAGAGATCTGCCAGTCTCTGCCTCCTGAGTGCTGAGATTAAAGGTATGCGTCACTATGCCTGGCCTTTTTTGTTTTTTTTTTGTTTTTTTTTTAACTCACCTGTGCTTTCTAAGCAAGACTGATAAACTCACTGATTCACAAAATAATAACAAAAAATTGAGAAAGGGGACTAAGGAGGCAGCTCAGTTGGCAGGGTCTGAAGCCCTGAGTCCAACCCCAGTGCCTCATAAAACTGGACATGGTGATGCATGCCTGTAATCCTAGCATGTGGAAGGTAGAGGCAGAAGGTTCAGAAATTCAAGGTCATTCTTGGCTACATAGTGGAGCTTGAGGCCAGGGGTATATGAGACTGTCTTTTAAAAATATTTTTTAAAAGGAAACCCTGGGGCTAAGGAGATGGCTCAGTGGTTAAATACTTACTGTGCAAGCCTTGACAACCTGAGTTGAGATCCCCAGAACCCACATGAAAACCAGACATAGTAGCACAAGTGCCTGTAACTGTAGTGTGGGCCTACCAAGACATGGGATGTGGAGGCAGGAGGATCATCAGAAGCCCACAGGCCAGCTAGCCTGGTATACAAAGCAGTGAGCAATAGAGACCCTGTCTCAAACAAGGTAGAAGTGGAAGCTGAGGACCCACACTCAAGGTTATCCTCTGACCTCCACATGAGCACTGGGACACATACACACACACACACACACACACACACACACACACACACACACACACACACATTCATTTTTAAGAGGAAGCACTTCCTTGGTATAAACCAGGAAGGAAGAAACACCCAGGTAGAAAACAGTTTGTATAAAACACTACATTATATAGACATACGGGAATGAAAGAAAAGTCAAGGCAGTCAACAAGTGGCAAGTTCAAATACTGCTTTCTCGAAATGGTTGATATCAACCCCCACCTCCACCACCTGACTTTCGCAACCCAATCTCTGCTTTTCATAGCACTTTGCGAATATTTCTCTAATCAAAGGAATTAAAACACATTCTGGGATCTGAATGAAGCTCAGTTGGTAGCGTACATGCCTAGCACACATGAAGCCCTGGATCCCATGCCCAGCATGACATAAACCAGGAAGGATGGCAGATGCCTGTAATCCTAGCACTTGACAGAGTTCAAAGGCTTTATTGGCTATATATCAAGTTCAAGGCCAGCCTGGGCTACCAAAGCTTCTGTTGTCAAATAAATAAAAGAATACACTACATTGGTATGGACAGTGGGTCTCATAGGCTCCTCAGGGACAGAAGAAACTGTTCATTCCAGGCTCCAACCCCAACACTGACTACATTCCTCACCTGTCTGCACACACAGACCACTGCATCCTCACCCCAAGAGAATATGTAATTATCTGTTCAATAACTGACTTTGACCATCTCTGTTGTTCCCTGCTGGAACCCCAGCCCCCAGCCTAGTTCACAATACCCAGGAGGGGAGAGTTAACGAAAACTGGATGCTTAAAGACCCAGCAGGAAGTAGCTTATGAAGAAAAGTCCCGTGCTTGCCTCAATAACGCAAATCTGGGGATCTTCCTTATTAATGTCCACGGACACCTTGGCTTGATTCATGACCCACTCCTGGATAGCATCGGTAATATGAGGGACAACTGCAGAAAGAAGGAATAAACAACATAGCAGGTTACTTCATGTTCATGAGAAAAGAAGCATATGGACCTCCCATATGATGTGAAAACAAGCGGGCAAAGGAGAGCAGCTGGAGATTTTATGCTATTGTCTCCACCACTGGAACCAGTATGAACTGAGGAATTTAAGGCTACTCCTTGCCATTATAGGCTGTTGCTCTTGAAGCAGACCAGATGCCCAGAACAAGAAGCAGAAAGAAGTGTTATCACCGATGTGGACGAGAAAACTTGCCAGTCTGGAGAGGTGGCTCACAGTTAGAAGCACTTGCTGCCTTTCCAGAGGACCTGAGTGCACTTCCTAGCATCAACATCCAGAGGCTTATAACTGCCTGTAAGTCTAGCTCCAGGGATTCCAACAGCCTATTCTGGCTTCCAAGGGCACTCACACACATGTGGCATAATATGTACACATGTACATACACACACACACACACACACACACACACACACACACACACACACACATATATATATATATATATATATATATATAAACAAATCATTAAAAAACCTTAGGAACTACCTACCATGCCATCTGAAAACTGGGCAAGGAAGGCTTCTGGGTAAGCCAGATGCTAGAATCCATGGGAAGGACACCCAGCAGCTGTACAGGGTAAGTACCCTGGGGATCATAGCAGCCAGCAGAGAGGTCCAGTTCAAGGGTAAAGCCCACCCCACTCACCAGGGTTCTAGCACAGAGATATCAAAATCCATCTGGATATTATTTTAGTTTTCTATGGCTTCTGTAATAAATTATCATAAAAACTTGTTTTTTTTATTTTGTTTTGGTTTGTTTTTGAAACAGGGTCTCCCTGTGTCGCCATGAATGGCCTGAAATTTGCTATATATACCTGGCTGTACATTCTTTATCATTCTGCACCATCCATGCCCAGCCAAAAATACCATAAATTTGTTTTCTTTTTTAAGTTTATTTTATGTATATGGCTGTTTTGCTTGCATACATGTATGTCCATCATGCCTGGTGCCTTCAGAAGATAGAGGAGGACATTGGATCCCCCTGGAACTGGAGATATACATAGTTGTTATTCACCCTCTGGGTGCTGGGAACCAAACTAGGGTTCTCTGCTAGAACAAGTGCCCTTAATAATCTCTCCAGCCCCTGATGGTTTTCTTTTTGAGGCAAGGGCTCCTATAGCTCAAGCTGGCCTACAACCTGCTCTGTAGGTTAAGATGACTTTGAACACCTACCCTTTCTGTCTCCACCTCTTAAATGCTGGGATTACAATTGTGCATGCAGTTCATGAACTTAATAGTTTACAACAATAATAATTCTTGATGAGATGACATCGTGGGTAAGGGTGATTGCCAATAAGCCTGAAGAGCAGAGTTCAATTCCCAGACCCCACTTGATGGAATAAGAGAACCAACTCCTCCCGCAGTTCTCCTGACTTCCACATGTGCACTATGGCATGCAAGCATCCACAAAGACATACGCATATACATACAAAATAAAAATAAGCCGGGTGGTGGTGGCACACACCTTTAATCCCAGCACTCGGGAGGCAGAGCCAGGAGGATCTTTGTGAGTTCGAGGCCAGCCTGGGCTACCAAGTGAGTTCCAGGAAAGGCGCAAAGCTACACACAGAAACCCTGTCTCAAAAAACCAAAAAAATAAAAAAATAAAAATAAATGTAATAAAATAACAGCAACAAGACCAGGTATAAGCCAGCACTCAGGAGACTGAGGCAAAATGATTGCCACGAGTTTAAAGCCAGCCAAGTAAGTTCCAGTCCAGTCCATACTACTGTATGAGACACTGTCTTAAAAAAAAAAAAAAAAAAGCCGGGCAGTGGTAGCACACACCTTTAATCCCAGCACTCAGAAAAACAGAGTGTGCTGATTTGAATGAAATGGTCCCCATAGTCTTAGGCATTTGAATACACGGCCCCTAGTTGGTGGTACTTCAGAAGTGCGGCCTTGTTGGAGGAAGCATGTCACTGGAGGGGGGCTGTGAGAGTTTAAAAGCCTCACACCATTCCCTATGCTCTCTGTGCTGCTTGCTTGTTGCTCAAGGGGTGAGCTCTCAGCTGGCTAGTCCAGCAGCCATGCCTACCTGCTGCTATGTGTCCCCACCCCATGTGATGGCTATGGACCTCTGGAACCATAAGCCCAAATAAACCATTCCATAACATTTGTCAGTGTTGTATCACAGCAATAGAAAAGTGACTAATGGGGGCTGGAGAGGTGGCTCAGCAGTTAAGAACACCAGCTCTTCTTCCAGAGGACCTGAGTTCCATTCCCAGCACCCACACGGCAACTCACTACTGTCTGTAACTCTAGTTCCAGAGGATCCAACACAGACACACATGCAGGCAAAATACCAATACAGATAAAATAAAAATAAATAAATCATTTTTTTTTAGAAATCCTCCATTTGATCAGGAAGAAGCTATGTTATTTAAAACATAAAATGAAAGAAAGAAAGAAAGAAAGAAAGAAAGAAAGAAAGAAAGAAAGAAAGAAAGAAAGAAAGAAAGAAAGAAAGAAAGAAAGAAAGAAAGAAAGAA